TGTGTTAATCTGAAAGAAGGCAGGGAATGGAGGAAAGAAGAAAAGAAAGAAAGGAAGTTAGAAATAGTCTCAATGGGTAGAATGTAGAGGACAGGATAAGACTTAGTTATACATGGAGACTGCTACATAAAACATCATCAGAAATAAATGGACGACCCACTAAGTAGTACTAGAAAAACAGACCACCCAAACTGCAATAAGTCAGTACATAAAGAAATAAGGTCCTTACCTCATAACATCCACAAAAACAAATTCAGGTGAATTAAGGATCCAAAGGTGAAAAACAAAACTTTAAAACTTGTATAAGACAATATAGGCAATTGCGTATAATTTTTGGCTAAAAAAGTAGTTATGTTTATTGTTGTTGTTGTTTTAAATAAGGCACACAAAGACCAAACCATAAAGGAAAAGATGGATTCACTTCGGACACCTTGAATTTCAAACATTGCGTAACGAGTGGACCAACATCAAAACGAAAAGACCCAGACTGGTACAAATTTTAGCAAAGCACGTCCTTGAGAAAAAGTTGGCATAAAAAATACAGGTAAAACAACCTCATTACAGAATAGGCAGATCTTTTAAAAAGAGGGAGAGACATCTTTATATCTTATTAAAAGTATCTTATGAAAAAAAAGAGACAAAAATGGGCCATAAACAATAAAATTTCATTTCACAACTTTTAGTGTTAGTAGAAGTAAGTTTAAAAAAAATACCAAGTGTTGGTGAGGATGTGGAGAAATAGCAACTGTCATTTGCTGTTGGTAGGAGTTTAGGTTGGAGTCCAATTGGCACAGCAATTTGACAACCATATATCTGAAGAGAGCACACCATGCCTATTACGTGACTCCTCACTCAGGCAGATCATATATTTTAGGAAAGTTGACTTCACCTCTGGGCCTAGGAGTGGCTCAGTACTAAATTCTGTGTATTAGAAAGAGATGGGTGGAAATTCTTCTGCCTGCCCATAAAGCAGCTACGGGACTTAAGGGGATATAAGTAGATAAGAGTCAGTCCTTTTCTTTGATTCATTCCTCCTTGCTTAGGAAGCACACAGCCTCAACAGCCAATGCCAGTCATTTTGGGACCACGAGAGGGGGACCTGACCAGTGAAGGAACCCGTGCTGAGTAGCTGGAGCTCAGAAATGGAGAGAAAGCAATCTTGGTCATATTTTGAGTCACCCCATAAATCCTCTCCTAAAATTAGTGATCTCTGGACTTTTCAGTCATATGAACAAAAAAACTGTTCCTGCTCTATGTAAAGTCATTTTGAGGGTTTCCCCCCTTGTAATTACAACCAATAGCATCCTGAAATGAGTAGGATTTAACTAGATTCAAGGAAAAGAGATTAATCCAGACAAGTGGGATCAAACGGATATTGTGTTGTGCATATATTTTGTTTTGCTTTGAGTATGTTCTCTCATACCACCCTGTACTCCTCAAGCTTATCTTTTTTCACACTTCATAAGATACCTGCTTCCTTCCTACATGAAGTGTAGGTACCATATCTATTTTGCTCACCATTGTTTTTTTTTTTAATGTTTATTTCTGAGAGAGACAGAGACAGAGCACAAGTGGGGAAGAGACGGAGGGGGGGGGGGGCGGGGGGGGGACACAGAATCCAAAGCAAGCTCCAGGCTCTGATCTGTCAGCACAGAGCCCAATGCGGGGCTCGAAGTCACTCACCAACCGTGAGATCATGACCTGCACCAAAGTTGGCTGCTTAAGCGAATGAGCCACTCAGAAGTAAGTTTTAAAAAAACTTGTTCATCATTGTATACACAGCACACAGCTAAGTGCCAGGCACATGGTAGGTGCTTAATAAATACTTATGGAATCGATGTTGAATGGAAAACATAACATGAAATTGGTAGGCAAGATGAAAACCAATAGTTGGCAAAATCCATACAGGGCAGGCCTGACTGGGCATCCTACTGAGCCCATGGGCCAAGAAGCAGATAATGCAAAATAGCCAGTGGAGTGCTAGGAGGAAAGACACAGCTTCACAATGCCACAGGAAGACTAAGCTTGCAAATTCATTCATACATGTATTTACTGAGGCGGAAATGGGGATTGATACTTATATACATATGACTGACTTACTCTGTGACAAGAGCTATGTTACAAACTTGACTTTTACCTCATTTACTTCTCATGGCATCCCTCCAGGTGGTTAATGCGATAGAACCTAGCCCCTAGTAAGTACTCAATGTATGTAGTGGTAGTCGCTGGATAAATGAATAGATCCAAATATTGTGGGGGGAGGTTGGTTTTGTTTTTTGTTTTTTGTTTTGCCTATCCTGTTACTTTCCATGAAGGTCACTTGGGTGCCTCTCATGAGGCAGCATAATGGAAGGCAATTGCTGAAGCAATGAGAGTAATCCTGGCAAATGGTGCTCCATTGATCTGGTACATCTTTTTTGGAACTTGATGCTCTCTGAAAAGTCCTGCCTGATACTCCTAACAAAGTTTAATTCATGGGGAAAATGACGAATCCAACCTGTGTGGGACTTCTGCCTTGATTAATAGAGAGAGAGTAGGGGTTTTAAAAGATGATGTTGACAGACACGGTGAGGACAGATAATGGAGCCAGTTAAAATATTAAATATTTAGCTAATAGTGGTTAATAAAATTAATTTTAAAGGGGTGGACCAGTGACAGCCTGGGAAGGAGGCTGTTTCTATAATCAGATGCTTGAAAATCTGTCCCAGGGATTGTCAACAGGAACAAAGAAGGACAAATACAGCCTTATGAGACTATGGAAGGAATGTACTAGAGTTAATGGCATTGCCACAGGCCAGAGAGCTTACTGGGTAGGAAGGTAGGTGGTAGACCTCAACTTTCAGGTTATTACCCTCTCTCCTCCGTTTAACCTTTAAACTTAAATTTCTAATCTATAAATGGAGATAATAATAAGATTCACCTTGTAGGGATAGAGTGCCAAAGGCATTGCCTGGACCATAACAAATGCTTGATAACTATTATTTGATATTATTGTTTAGGGGGTCTAAGAAAAAGGATATGTCAATAAAGATGGAACAATTTGAATATAAATAGGGAAAGAATCCTATATAGAGAAAGAATTGGGAGATAGTAGGATTTTGGCAAAAGAGGATCTTTTGTTTTTTATTTTATTTTATTATTTTATTTTATTATTTTATTTTATTTTATTTATTTTTAAATAGTTTATTGTCAAAAAAATAAATAGTTTATTGTCAAGTTGGTTTCCATATAACACCCAGTGCTCATTCCCACAAATGCCCCCTCCATCCCCAACTCCCCTCTTCCCCTCCCTCCCCACCCCATCAGCCCTCAGTTTGTTCTTGGCATTCAAGAGTCTCTCATGGTTTGCTTCCCTCCCTCTCCCCCAGTATTTTCCCCCTAGTTCTCTCCCGTGGTTCTTTTGGATGTGTGGATTCAAATTTAACATATGTTGGCAGCAACTGTGTGCTTAGCTCTGTACCAGTCTCAGGGATGCGTGGGGGGAACTTATAGGGCATAGATAGCAGAGACACGTAGCTCACAGAGACACTTGTACACAAGGACTCACAGCTTTGGCTTCAAAGTCAGACTGTCTAGTTTTGAATTCCTGTTGTGTCATCTAATAGCATTTTATTTTTCTCTCCACACTCATCTGAAAAAAAGGGGATGAAACCAACCCTAGGTTCTTGAGAAACCTAATTTAAGCAAAATGCTTACAGTAATGCCTGGCAAATACTAAGAAGTCTGTAGCGGTAATAATAATAGAAGTATGAATATAAGTAAGAGCAGCCATAGTAACAATATGAACACTTGAATTCTACCTGATGGTCAGGTGAGAGGCTCAGAGCAACAGATACATTTTGCAGAAGGTAACACTGAGGTCAGAATGGAACCACGGTTGTAAATAGTCTTTTCCATGGGGAGAGAAGAGACGGGACTGGGATTTGAAAGAAGGAGAAAAAGAGCCAATGCTGAGAGCAACAGTAAGGGTGGAAAAGAACGCAGGAAAGAACACGTGTCTGAGAGCCGAGGAAAACTGTTTCTACCACAAGGAGCCAACAGAATCTAATGTCACTGAAAGGTCAAAGAACTTGAGACTTGATGCAGGATCCGGGGCGAGTTTCAGGGCAGTTTAGGGACCATTATAGGGGCAGGGATTAGCTTATCAGTGGTGAGAGCAGGGAACACTGACTGGAAAGTTGAATGAGTTGGTAGCTTCAAGTGTCGCACAGGTAGAAGCATCATCAGAGGCATGCTGTCTCTTGCATGCACGCAGACCTAGCTGGCATGGCAAGTCAGCTGGGCCACTTTCTCAGTGACCACGGGAGGAGGCTGCCTTTCCTTCCTTAGCACACCATTGGCTCCCTTGCAGTTAGGTAGAGCCAGGTGACAGAGTCGTAGCCAATGGGTGAGAGTTGAGTCATATGCACCACTCGGGCCTGGCCCATGATAATTTCCCTTAGACAATCCTCCTCTTCTTTCTTTGTCCCCAGCTGAAGGGGAGAACTCCAAGGACACAGATGAGGTTGGATTCACTGGCAGAGGGTACCTTGGTCTTTGAATGTCCTGAATTGTCTTGTCCCGTCCCCACATGGTCTCCAGATGATGACATGAGTGAGAAATAAAAATATTATTATATTAGGCCACTGATACTTTAAAGTCCTGTGTCACACTGGTTAATCTACCCTGACTAAAATCGGGCTAGCAATGGCTACTTACCTGACAGCTTTTCTCTTTTTCCTTGCTCATGCCACCCTAAGCATAATAGGTTAATTTGTATTCTTTTGCTTTAAGGGAGTCTGGGTCCCTCCTCGGCTCTAGCCAGGGAATGGGGTGTGATTGTGTGTATGTGTGTGTGCGTGTGTATGTGTGTGTGTACACGTGCATGCGTGCAGTCAGGGCAATCGCCCCATCCCCCACCATCTTGCCTGTGAATGACTCAGTAATGGGCATAGAGCAGTGAGACATGAAGAAAACCCTCTAGGGAGGTTCTGGGAAATATTCTTCATTCTTAAAAAGAGAGCTCAGAACATGTCCTTTATTTTCCTTTTCTAATTGGGCACATTATCAGGTGAGGGTGTGATGCCTGGAGCTGTCACAGCCACCTTGTGCTCATTAAGAGAAAAATCTGAAAGCAAAAGTTGACAGGCTAAAGATGGCAGAATCCCAAGGCTGTGGGGCCAATCCTGGAAGCATCCTACTACCATAAATGCTTCAGGTGAGTAGTGATATTTTCTTTTATTTATGCCATTCCGAGTTGGTTTTTTCATTACCTATATCAAAAACATACTACCTAGTATTTCAGCTAGCATTGAATCAGTGAAGACATGAGAATTGCAAGCCATGTTGTAGGTGATCAAGAGTGTTAGCATCATAATAACCACTATGATGATCACCATCGAAGCGTGGATCTCCTGACCCCAGCCCAACACTTCAGACCTCATTGCCTCCTGGATCTCAACAAATTAAAATAAAATATAAAATAAAATAAAATAAAATAAAATAAAATAAAATAAAATAAAATATAAAATAAAATCTCCTTTTGGACTGTGACACAATGTATTCCAAGGGATGGGAAATTGGCCCAAGAAAGACAACCAGAGCCTTGCTTCTTTTGGAAACTGAGGCTGTGGAGTAGATTTAGTTATTGATGACCATCAGATGTGTCTCTTAGATAATGAGACCTTTAAAGGGTACAGTGAAACCTTCGGAAAACAGGTGTCTTATGCAAATAATGGTATTATTAGCTGGATAATATTTAACAAGCACTCCTTCCTTATCGCAAGTAATTCAAAGCAATAGAATAGAATATTACAGTCCATGACAAGCAGCAGTTGGGGAGAGTGTGGAATCCTTGTTATTTCTAGTAATTGATAAATAAAGATAGATATAGAGCCTCTCCCAGTCCTGCTTCCCACCTTCATTCAGGTTGTTCAGGAAGATTAATGCTACTTTAAGAAAGATAATGCCTGTATAAAGACTGTCTTCATCCTCCGAGAACCCAATAAAGGAAATCAAATCAGATATGTGGGATGAGGAGCTAGATGAAATGAGAGGCTATTTTCTTACCATTGAATGGCAATAAGAATGATAAGAATAACAATAACAGTATCAGGAAGAAGACTGAGAAAAGGAGAAGGGGGACTTTTCTTTGCCATTTTCTTCTTTATCTGTGTCTTTCATATATAATCTTTTTAAATTTGATGCTCAAAACAGTGAAGCAGCCTCCATTATCCACATTTAACAGATGAGGAAATTGATGCCAGGCGACACTGAGATCACAATCAAAAAGTACAGATGAAAACCTTAAAATCACATCCCTGAGTCCAAACACCATGTTGCTTTTGCTTAATCACATCGCCTTTCATTTCTTTCTCTCAGAAACAAGACTCTTGGTGGCCAGAGCCGACGACCTAGAAATGAAACTCCCTCTCCTCTGAGGTGCTGTCTGAGACACAGGAAGGTGCGTCCAGAAGAAGCCGAGTTTATAAGGTCAGAGAAGAACGAAGACTGGGCTACCAGTTCTGACTGAACACTGTAAAAGCTCTGTAATCTGGGGAAAGTGACTCTCTCACCTTCTGTTTCTTGAGTTTTAAAAGCAAAGAAATTGTTTCAGAAATATGGTGTCATAATTTTTTCTTCTGCTTTGTTTCGTAACAGTTGACCTTATTAAAGAAGAAGAAGAGGGGGAAGGGAAAGGAAGGAAGGAAGGAAGAATGGAGGGAGGAAGGAAGGCAGGCTCTTGACTGATCAATTGTGTTAGTTAGGCTTGTCCGATATAGGTGTTCTCCTAATCTGCATAAATACATAAAGGTACGTGTGAATGTCACTATCCATATATATTATATGCCACAAACTCTAATTGTACAGAACTGAACGTGTTGGCCATGAGGACTTCTCTGCATCACAAAGCTAGCGTCAATACACATAAGCCTAGAAACACTCTCACAAATCAAACTCATTTCAGAAGCAAGTCATTGCATGATGGGACGCATATCTGCACATCTGCACATCCAAACTCTCCTGGCTCTGTCGTTTTTTATGGACAATGGACCTCTCAGGATCCCTCCTCATGCCTCAGGCTGGAGACCCAACTAGACTTCTGATATTTTTCATTAAAAAGAATTGGATTTCTTTCTGTGCCCCCTGCCTCCACCCTTCTTCCAGAAACCTTTAGCCCCAACATTGTAGGTTAATGCAGAACTTCTTCTTCCTCCTTAAGTGTCACTTCTGCTGCGCTCTGGCCAGTAGCCACTCGTGTTACAAACCATATTTGCTCTATAGGTGCACATGTTCCTCATTTATTCCGTAGAACAATCATGCCAGATAGGGATTGACAGTCCCATTTCACGGAGAGGGAAAACAGACTCGGAGAGATTTGACCCCTCATCCAAACTAATGGCGCTCCAGAGAAGTCAACCTAATTTCCCTGCCTGCACATCTTTTTTTTTTTTTTAATTTTTTTAATGTTTTACTTATTTTTGAGAGAGAGAGATAGAGGCAGTGTGAACAGGGGAGGGTCAGAGAGGGAGGGAGACACAGGATCTGAAACAGGCTCCAGGCTCTGAGCTAGCTGTCAGCACAGAGCCCGACACGGGGCTCGAACCCACGAACTGTGAGATCATGACCTGAGCCGAAGTTGGTCACCCAACCGACTGAGCCACCCAGGCACCCCTGCCTGCACATCTTTCTGCTCTCACGTCTCTCTACAAATGGATGCAATGAGCTCTTCTCCTGGATGAGAGTCTGATTTCTACGAAGCTTCGGATAAACTTATTTCTTTTCTTGATCCATTCCATGTTTTCTGTCTCCGTTTCCTCATCTATTAAAAAGACAAAAAACTAACAAGGCTAAGTTACCTATGTTTGGTCTGCTGAAGTAGTTTGAATTCTTCTGGACTGAGCTGAATACAAATCATCTTGCTATTTCACTAATTAATAATATCTGCTTGGAAACGCAACTATTACTGCACAATAAATGATATGGCTTATAATTATGGATGACAGTAATTGCTTCTTTTTTTGGCCCTTACCTTCATCCTAGTTTATCTTCGCAAGATATAGCTACCTCTCTGGGGACTAGGAAAATATTTTTTAAGAATCTAAACAATAGGTTCTTTCCCAGGGGTTTGGAAATTGATGAATCATCTCACTCTGCTAGGCAGCATTCAAACTAACTGTGTTTGACACACAGGCGGAAAAGTGGGCTCTTTGAAATTTGAGCTGAGTACAGATCATGTCACCTGGCTGGCGCATGACCTGTTCCACTCGCCACCTGACCCCCTGTGCCCAACGTCACCTGGAGCCTGAAATCTGGAAGCAGAGAGTCCTTGACTGGAGTCAGCGGAGAGAAAATCATCACCTGCTTGGGCACAAACATGCCTGGTGACTGCGTCACTGTTTGTTAAGTTGGATCAGCTAATAGTTGCACAGCGGGCCTTCAAAGTGCTGTGGCGGCGCTGATGGAGTTTCTGTAAATGCACTGCCTGTGCAAAGGCCTTGGACTTTGAATCTCAAGCGCTGGGAGCATTTTGAGCTTGCAACAGGCTCTTTGGTGAACTCTATTTGGTTAAACTGCAGAGGAAAAGAATCCACTTCAGTTTCCATTGCCTTCGCCTGGGTCACTCTACTGCAGCCACACTTCTCCCTCAGGGTTTTTGCATGTGCTATTCCTGTCCCCTGGACAACTTTCCCCCTGGATAACAGCCTGGCTTGCTCTTATGTTTTACTTAGTTACCTACTTACAAATCACTTCTTTAGAAACCTTCCAGACTGTTCTCTTTCTCCTCGTCCTGCCTTAGATTTCTTCATAGCGCATGAGTCTACTTTACTTATGTATTTGATTAGTAGTCTCTGGTTTGTTTGCTCTACCAGAACATAAGTTCCCCAAGAGGAGAAGTCACATTGCTTTGGTCCACTGCTCTGTCCCAGTGCCTACAGTAGTATCTGATCCATAGTAGACCCTCAGGAAATATTTTTTGAATAAATGAATGAGTGAAGGAATGATTTTTCCCTCATATTACAAGTAAAAAACTGAAAAATAACAGGAAATAATCTAGTCAACAGCTATGGAAAATTGATGGCAAGGTTAGTATTAACACTTTGATTTCCTAATTCACAAAGCTGTTTTTTCCCTCCCATATAACCCTGTTCTCCAAACATTTGGCAACTAAGTCATCCCTTGACTGACCATTTGTTCACCAACCGGTAGCCACTTAATGTCTATGGTGACAACTTGAACTTCATGAGGGTAAGTGCTTATTAACCAAGTTCTTAAGGAGTTTATCTTTCTCCCACAACTCTATCAAAAGCAAAGGAGATTGAAAATTACTTAAGCTATTACATTTATAAAACATTTTTTTTTAAGTTTATTTATTTTGAAGGGCACATGGATGGCTCAGTCGGTTGGGCATCTGACTTTAGCTCAGGTCATGATCTCACAGTTCACGGTTTCGAGCCCCACGTTGGGCTCTGTGCTGACCACTCAGAGCTTGGGGCCTGCTTCAGATTCTGTGTCTCCCTCCATCTCTCTCTCTGGCCCTCCCTCTCTTGTGCTCTCTCTCTCTCTCTCTCTCTCATAAATAAATAAACATTAAAAAGTTTACTTATTTTTGAGAGAGAGAGAGAGAGAGAGTGGGAGAGCGGCAGAGGGAGAGAGAGAGGGAGAGGATACCAAGCAGGCTTCACATTGTTCGAGCCCAATGGGGGCTCGAATCCACAAACAAGATCATGACCTGAGCTGAAGTCAAGAGTCAGACATTTATCCGACTGAGCCATCCAGGTCCCCCAATTTTTAAAACATTTTTAATATAAATGGTAATAAACATTTACCGTATAAATGTAGATATACCTGAAGTATAAGTGAAAGTAAGTCTTGCACTATCATACAAAAGTAGCTTTCTTGGTATATTTAATATATATTTAATTATGGCAATTGTGCTATATGCAAAGCTTTCTAATCTGTGTTTTTACACAGTATATTTTAGACATGTTTCCATGTCACTAAAATTAACACTTTAGGGTATGTAAATACCAATATCTGAGTGTGCCATAATTTTACTTAACCATCTTCTTCTTATTGATAATTAAGGCTATTTTCATTTTTTAAATTTATTAGATTTCTAGGTTTGGATTCTTTTCTATTTCTGGGTTCAGTTATTGTATTAACATTTCCATGTTTGTCACAACTATAAAGAGAATAGTTATTGTCCAAGTTCTTACTAAAAATGCTACAAATAGTCTAAAACAAATCCTGGGCTGCAAGCTCAAAGTTTCTCTTTGAATCAATAAACATTGAACAGGGGCACCTGGGTGGCTCAGTCAGTTAAGCATCTGATTTTGGCTCAGGTCATGATTTCATGGTTCATGAGTTCAAGCCCCACGTGGGGCTCTCTGCTGTCAGCCCGCTTCAGATCCTCTGTCTCCCTCTCTCTCTGCCCCTCCCCTGCTCATGCTCCCTCTAAAAAATAATTAAACATTAGAAAAATATATAAACACTGAAGTTTTCACTCATCTGCACTTCTAGTCTTTGAGTTTTGGTTTGGAAACTGGGAGCATGGGGACCGCGGGGCTGGACATGGTGACAATCTGAGAGCAAATAGATGCTTGGATTGTGTTTACCTTTCTGTCCTGTGTGTGTGATTCTGGCCTTTGTATCAAGGGGGATAAAAATCCAGCCTCAAGTTTGTGGCGCCTGCAGACCTTTGCGCTTTAATGACGCTGGCATGAACTGTACTGGGTTCTAGTCAGCGTGACTCAGCCCCAGAGTAAAGTTTAGCAGCTCTGCAGGGCCAGGGATTGGTCCTACCTGGCATGACAGTGGGGAAGGGGACTCTTTCCTTCCTGAGAAAGGGTCTGAGAAAGAACCCTGTGTTCAGAGTGTAGCCTGATCTGGCAGGATAGTCCAGCCACAATTCTAGTTAGTGATGGCCTTGTTACATGCCTAGCATGCTTGTAACGTTTCAGTTGATGCTACCTCTCCCTGGAGCCTTGCACCAGTAACAGTCACTGCCATTGGCTGAGCACCTCCTATGTGCCAGTATGCTATGCTGGGCTGAGTATGCTGTCACCAGATGGGGATAGGCTGTCTTCTTTTACCTCCAGGAAACAAGAATTGTTGCTACGTTATCCAGATAAAGATGTTGAGAGAGGTTAAAGCTACTCAAAGTCACAAAGAGCTGGGATTCAAAACTGGATTATCTGACTTCAAAGCCCATGTATTACTGCATACCTCTGTGTCTGCAGAGTAGACATTTTCCTTCTGCTCACTTTCCATAATTTTTGAGACAGATGTCATGAGATATACTGGATTCGATTTATCCATTCAACACGATCCCATTAATTGCCCACTTAATGAGTACTTTGTGCCAGACTCTCAGTCTCCACTGAGAATAAACTGCTCTCCTGATCTTAAAAGAGGAAGGGGATTGTGGGCTACTTAAACAGTCATCCTTAGGACCTAGAACACTATACTCACCACAGAAACTAGCTCATCAGGGAAACTCAATAGATATTTGTGGAAGAAAGGAAGGAATAAAGGATGGGTGGTACATTATAAAGGATTTAGATCCCAGTCTGAAGGTGTGGAATCTACTCTCAGCTTTACCTTGTATTTGC